ATATCCTGTGACATTTGACCAATCAGAACGCACTATTTCAAAAAATACGGCATATACAATCGACAATACCAATGCCTACGACTAAAAAAGCAAAACAAAACTTTGCGTCAAAATTTACGATAATATACTGAAATTCAAAAAAAAAATATATTGGCAAGTGACAGCCCAGCTTGCGCCGCGGGAAACACTGACTGGTTTTATGTGATTGGTGGTATACTTCAAACCGATGGGTATCTCTAGGTGTTTTATTTATTTTATTTTAATTTATTTACTTTCAGTCAACCAGGTGGTCGGGGTCAACAAGGCGGTGAAATCAAGATACATGTCGGGTTTCTGTTTGGGGGTCAGTTAGTAGTCAAAGCCGCGGGCGGTAAAGGCGGCGATGGGCAAGATGGCGGCAACGGTCGTGAAGGGTCAGCAGGGTTACCAAATAGGTGAGTATTGATTATCCAAAGTGAGAATAAAATAAATTAAAGCCACAAAGAACGTCAGTAGGGCCGAAGCTGTTAGACATCTAGACCATAATTAATGAGGCCACCTGATTGCCATTGAGGTAGTTTAAATGATCGTATCATGTGGCCAAAATAAAGTTGGTTCCATGTATTTACCTGGTTTGGTTATCGAGTTATTGATTTCAGAATATATAATGAACCATGTGCTTATGCATATTAATGAGGGTACATGATCATATACGACCATTTCTTATATTGTGTACATGTTTTGTTTGATGCCTTCATTAGGGTTCCTGGTTGCATGTCCCGTTCTGCAACACTGTTTCAGATATGACTTCTATGCATATTAATGACTTCACTTAACCATATATGGTCATCTGTTATTTTAGTCAAATCTCTTGTTTAACGTCATCATAATAACGCAGGTTTTACCTTCCTAACTACAACAATGCTTGCGATTTAGCAGTTATGCATATTAAAGGGGAAGTCAAGCCAAACAACACAATGACCCCCCAAGAAAAAGCTCCACAAATGTAGGAGAATGCAATTTACAGTTTTTTTTTATATCACTTTTCATTCTCTAGATAATCATCAGTATTATGTAGTCAGCCATCTTGATTCTCAAGCAAAGGGTCATGGGTATGACATCACAGAGTCTGTTGTAAGAAATTGAGAAAATGATTTCATCTATAACATGGGAAATACTGATGCGAATTAGTTCAAATTTTCGTTATGCATATAATTCTTGTATATGATTATAGTAATGTGAATTGGAATGTTACAAATACACATGAAGTGAAAATATTGCAAAAAATTTAAAAAAAAATCGTTATTTTCGTTGTGAAATATAGAATGACACTTTTTTGTCCACTTTTTATGATCAACAAGTAATATATCACCTATATAACCTACATCGGTAAATTGTATGCAATATAAGGAAATTTGAGCATTTGGTAGAAAAACATAAAAATTAATATTTTCAGTTCTGTTTCTATGACAACTATTTTATAAGCATGTTTGGCACCAGTACATGTATGCTACCCTGTTCTAAACTTTCGGCCAATTTAAAGTTCAACTTTTGAAGTTATAGATGAAATCATTTTCTCAATTTCTGACAACAGGCTCTATGATGTCATATTTACCCACAATCCTTTGCTGAAGAATCAAGATGGCAGTCTACATAAATTGATGAAAAATTGAATATCTAGCGAATGTGAACTGAAGTGATATAAACAAAACTGTAAATTGCATGTTCTTACATTTGCCGAGCTCTTCCATCGAGGAGTATTATGTTGTTAGCCTTGACTTTCACTTTAATGAGGTTAGAAACCCCCACCCCCACCCCATGGGCGCCTAGCAACTTGACCTAGCCATATGCCATTCGAGTGAAAGATTAGAATGAAAGAGGGAATGCACATACAAAATTATAGCCAAATCGCAACAATACAACACGTTTTCACAAAATCCAAGATAGCGTCCAAAACCACGTGACAGATCAAAATTATATTAGTTTTCTCATACGAAGCTATGACCATACATGTTATATACAAAATAACCAGTAAATCAGTAGAAGCATCTTTGAGAAACAAATTCCCAAACTTTTGGTCAATTTTGCCAAAAATCCAAGATGGAACCCAAACCACGTGACTGATCTGAAATCGTTTTTAACCTTCTGAATGTGTTCCACATAGTGATGTAATGTAGAAAATTAGAAGATAATCACATATTTGAGGCATAAGTAAAAAACTACTTCCTGTTTAGAAGAAAACTAAAATGGTGGCCAAACCATGTGACCAATCATAAAAAAAAAATGTCAAACTCAATTTGCGTCATATATAGATGAGAAAATATATTGGAAAGAATTTTGCCTAGTGATTCTG